GACTATTGCAGCATAGATGCTGGAGGCTGAGACAGGGGTGGGTCGGGGGACACTGTGGCCACGTCCGACAATACCCCCGGACAGGGCCAACCAGGCAGGACTTATCGTCATTAGTTGTGGTCAGTAATTGTGGTCTGTAGTGGTCAGTAGTTGTTGTCAGTAGTTGCGTGGTTGTGGTCAGTCGTTGTGGTCAGTAGTTGTGGTCAGTAGATGTGTGGTTGTGTTGCTGGTTCTTTAAGCCCTATAGTATAGACGTGGTCTGTAGTTGTTGTAAGTAGTTATGACAGTAGTTGTGTTGTTGTGGTCAGTAGTTGTCGTAAAATGTTGTGGTCAGTAATTAAGTGGTTGTGGTCAGTATTGTGTTGTTCAGTGGTTATGTGGTCAGTACTTGTGTCTTCAGTGGTTTTGTGGTTGTGGTCAGTAGTTTTGTGGTTGTGGTCAGTAGTTGAGTTGTTCAGTAGTTATGGTCAGTAGTAATGGTCAGTAGTTGTGTGGTTGTGGTCAGTAGTTGTGGCCAGTAGTTGTGGTCAGTTGTGTAGTTTTAAGTAGTTGTGTGGTCAGTAGTTGTGGTCACTAGTTTTGTGGTTGTGGTCAGTAGTTGTGTGGTTCAGTAGTTGTGTGGTCAGTAGTTGTGGTCAGTAGTTGCGTGGTTTTGGTCAGTGGTTTTGGTCAGTAGTTGTGGTCAGTAGTTTTGATCAGTGGTTGTGGTCAGTAGTTGTGGTCGGTAGTTGTTTAGTTGTGGTCAGAAGTTGTGTGTTTCAGTAGTTGTATGGTTAAGTGTTTAGTTGTTGTGGTCAGTAGTTGTGTGGTTCAGTAGTTGTGTGATCAGTAGTTGTGGTCAGTGGTTGTGTGGTTGTGGTCAGTAGTTGTGTGGTTCAGTAGTTGTGTGGTCAGTAGTTGTGTGGTTTTGGTCAGTAGTTTTGGTTTGTGGTTGTGGTCAGTGGTTATGATCAGTAGCTGTGGTCAGTAGTTGTGTGGTTCTGTTGCTAGTTCTCTGGGCCCTACAGTCTGGACGTGGTCAGTAGTTGTGGTCAGTAGTATTGGTCAGTGGTTGTGGTCAGTAGTTGTGTGTTCAGTAGTTGTGTGGATGTGGTCAGTAGTTGTGTGGTTAAGTAGTTGTGTGGTCAATAGTTGTGGTCAGTAATTGTGGTCAGTAGTTGTGGTCAGTATTTGTGTGGTTCAGCAGTTGTGTGGTCAGTAGTTGTTTGGTCATTAGTTGCGTGGTTATTGTTACTATACAAGCACGCCATTCCAGACCGGTCTGCACGTTTTACAGTTTGAATTGCCTTTCTAGCTAAAATGGTTGAAGACTAGTAGTGATCGGAATTTTTCCCATTGGGATTTATGCAAACATGGTTGTAGTGTGAAAAGTATTAGTAGTATCAAAACATGTTTTTTTAAGCACACTGACCAGTGGTAGTCTGGAAATGTTCAAGTTGTTTTGGTGTTGGTAGCTTTTGCGGTTTTGGCGCTACGTGGCAGCAGAATAATAAGTATGAACAGTTTGTAAAATTATTTCAGGCCACTATTCAGCTGATTGGCATGGTGAGCAATCAACAAGCCCAAGCTGGAGATGTGCTGTCACAAGTCAGTAACAAAACTGGTGGCTGACTTGTTGGTGGCTCTTCTGCCGAGAGCTGTGCTGGCGAGCAGCAACCAGCCATGCAGCATAAGGAAATGTGTGCAAGGAGAAGCTGGATGATCACATTGTGGAGGCCATCATCGATAACATTTTCATTCATTTTACCTCATGTTACCAGTTTCATATACAGTGTCTATGTGCTTTCTCATTGTGCTGGAAGATTATTATTTATTGGAAAGTCTGGTAATAACTTTGTTTGAACAGATCCCTACTTATCAGCCACTATTACCCTGTCACGGATTCTGCCGAGGCTGCCCCTCCTCCTTGCCCGGGCAGGCTTCGGCGTTCGTCGTCACCGGAATACTAGCTACTGCCGATCTATGTTCTATGTTTCTATGTTCTACCTGTTGTTGTTGTCTGATTGTCACACACCTGTTTCCCATCATGTAATTACTCCTTCCCTATTTAACCCGGTGGCTCCCATTGTGTTTTGTGCGTGTTTGTTTTTCGTTTCGTGTGTCGTTTGGTGAGCGGGTTTGTTCCTCCTGAGTGGAGGTATTTTGTATTGGTTTCTTTACTTATCAGTAAAGTACGTTTTCATTGAGTTCTGTGTCCTGCGCCTGACTTCGACCCACCGCATTACACTGATACTCGTGACATACCCTAACGGTCAAAAACATATTTTTTTCTTATCTCTCTTCCCTTCACCCCTCCTTTCTTCTCTTTCATCTCTCTATCTCTAGCCTCTCATTTTATTTTATCCTTATATGTTCCTTTTTTTCTCACCATTTCTCTCTTTTCCCCTTGCTCTTTTCTGTCTTTCTTTATCCTCTCTCCTACTTTCTCTCCATCCATTTTCTCTTTCTATTCTTCTCTTTTCTCTTTCTCATCCTCCTTTCTTATTGTTTCTCCTCTCTTGTTCTTCCTTTCTCTCTATCCTTCTCTCTATTTTTTCCTCTCTTTCCCCCTTTCTCTCTATCCTCTTGTCTTTTATCCTTCCCTCTCCTCTCTCTTTCCCCTCTCCTCCATTCTCTTTATCCTATTTCTACCTTCCTCTATTCTCTCTCTCATTCTTTTTCTCCTTTTCTCCCCTCTCTCCCCATTCCTTCAGCAATTCCACACCTTTTTTCAGGGAATGTACCTTTTCCCTGGGTTTTTTTTCCATACGCAAGGCTGATTTTGATAGATGAATTAATTAAGTGTTTGGGGAATGTTTTGTGTGTGCACACGCTTGCTTAGGTGTGTGTGATTCTTGAGATTGTTGAAGATTGAGCTTTTTAGTGATCTAATTCAATGTTGCGTTATGTCAGTACCATAAAGCATTACTTTTTTTGGTCACTTTACCCAAAAAAGGCTGGGACAAAGACCATAGTATCATGGTAATACATTGTAAACAACTACTATGCTTTCATGTTTACATCCTGCTAGTACTAAACCATAGTATAGTCACTCCATCTGTGGTAGTACAATGAACAAAATGCCATGGTACTATCACTGCTTTTTGGTCACTACCATGGCAGGAACATACCATGGTATTTGCACCATGAAAGTACCATGGTATTTTCTTTCATTGAACTACCATGGTACATCTTTGTAAGGGCTGTCTAGTTCTTAGCCGTACATCCCACACACACATTATGGTGTGCTTTAGCATTATCAGTTTGAGAGACTCACAGATCAATGCTAAACTATCAATTGCCTATTATAAAATTGTTGAATTGTGCTGTGTAGGCCTTTTATATTTTACATCTACAAAAGACTGTTGGGTGGGATAGAGGTGTTTTGTTGAAATGCAAGAGGACGGGAGTGTCTTTAGAGTGTTTTAGTTATTTAACTGGAGGGGGTAGTTAGTTTGGTGACAGGGGTATCCCTTGGCAACAACAACATGTGGAAGACTGCCTGTTGCTAAGAGATTTCTTCAACCAGAAAAGTGGACCCCCCTTCCTTTGGAGTCCCCCCCTCCCTTCCTCCAAAGGAGAGTATAGCTTACAAATGCAGGTACTCTCACTCTATCCATTAGTTTACATGTTTCCGAGTTGCCCTAATCAGAAAAGACAATCTTAAAAAATGCTTTACTAACTTTGTGAAATAGTTTAGGCACAAAAGTTTGTTGAGTTCCGTAAATATGCATCCATGGCCTGCCCTATGACATTCCCTAGCCTAGCTTGACTAGTCAGTCAGCGATGTGATAGCAGACCGTATTTCCATGAGAATGGCAAGGGGCAGGGAAAGGGTTAGGCCTGGACTGTGGGATAAGGAGAATGGGCATTCAATGCAACGCTAATTTTCTGCCCCGTGGGACACCCAGAGAAAAGAGGACAAAGCCCGGCATAAGACATGCTGAGAACTACGGTATACTGTGTGCACCTGCATGCTCTAAAGCAGTGAGAGAACAATGAGATTTACCGAAATGGGCAATTATGCTCTGGAGTCCACTCTCCTTTTTTGTTGGTCTGGAGAAAGTGAGATATTATCGGTGGATGTAGACCTATATAGGACTTTTACTTATGCCAGATTTACTCAAGCCACAAATAAAAACATTTGATATGAAAATCACACGTGAAGTAAATGTAGCCTGTATCAATGTTAATCCTTAAGTTTATCTACATTTTATGTAAATGGTGTTTGTTTAGGAATTTATCATAGACAAATAGTGACGGTAGAAAAAAATTATAAACCAAAATCTTTATTACTTTTTTTTTTTTTACATTATTGTTGTCAAGTGACTTGAAATAACAATACCCTTACTATAAGGGCATTCATGAAAACATTATTCAATACATTTCACAACTCCAAATAAGGCCTGAGCCTCAGAAAAGCAGCATTGATTTAAACTAAACAATAACAAAATCCTCAAACATTTGTTCAGTTTTGTGTTTCAAAAAGTTGTGAAATAAAAACCAACTGCCATTAACTTGAATATAAATCAAAGTGTGTAGACCCATTTAGATATACATTCATTTTCTGAACTGACATAGAAATGGCAGTTGTCTGAGAGGAAAACTTGGGATTGTCAACGTCGAAGCCATTTTGTTCAGAATTCATGAAAATAAAATGTCATAAGTCCATTTCAACTTTTTGAGATCCCATTGCAGTCTTAAAAACTATATTCAGGTGGGTGGGTGGGGAGGGGGGGGGGGTAGAGAAAGGCCAGGATGGGACAATATCTGGGGTTTGAAATTACTCATAACCATTGAGGCATTCCAACTAAAATGTACACTGAAACCATTCAACCAATCAATGACCAATGATGTCATCATCTTGTCACAAATTAGTGTCTATGTCAGTGACTGATCGCATCTTTGTATTAAAATTAAGTGTTTCTTTCTTCAGTCCCTACACATTTACTGACCACATTGGTCTGCCACCAGTCAATCCCAACAGATCAATTGAGATCAGGTTGTGGGTAAGAGAGAATTCAAAGGTGGGTGAGTGGAGCTGACCCTCCCAGGTAATGCTGCTGGATGTTAGCTGCGGAGACAGAGTACCCTCTCTGGGCATCTGAGGCATCTCCCCCGGGCATGTACATGCTGATCATGTCCCTGAGATGGTCCCCCTGGACCTGGATACCACGCTGGGCCTGGTGGTGGTTGTGGGTCCCCGTAGGGGAGGGGGACATGCTGTGGCCATCAGACTGCTGCTTCACCATAGACATCACTGGGCTTACCTGCTGGGGGCTGCTGCTGTAGGACATGGGGCTGGATGACAGAGATTGGAGCGTGAGTTACTAATCAATTGAGGCCAAATAAATAACAGAAAACAAACCTAAAACCTATATTAACAAGATGGGAATAGGCTACCAGCATCCTTAAAACAACCTAGCCGTGGGTTTTGTTGTTCCAACATCTCAATGACTATTGATTAGCAACAGTTTAGGCCTATAACTCCAATTGGTATATTGGAAAGGAAATATAGCTGAATACACAGCAATTCCATTCAGTGACAAAAGGTAACAATCTAAATTCACCTGTATGCGTTGGCACCATTCATGTAGGCCTGCGCCTGGGCCACGCTGGACTGATACTGAAGTGCTGACAGGTCGTAGCGGTGAAGCTGCTGGCTGTAGCCGAGGGCCTCACTCTGCATCGTCGCCGGTGTAGCCCCCGGTGTGGCCCCAGCCATAACTGTCGATTCTGGGGTTTCCACCTTGTCCCTGAGCTGCAGATGCACTCAGCAGGTGGTTACCGGCCGACATCTGATACTGCGCGGCTAGAGTATTGTTCTTCGGCATCAGTTTGGTTTTACGACGGGGTTTGTATTTATAGTCTGGATAATCCTTCATGTGCACCGCGCGGAGGCGCTTGGCCTCGTCAATGAAGGGCCTTTTCTCGGCGTCTGTTAGAGATTTCCACGCGACACCCAGCCGTTTGGATATCTCAGAATTGTGCATTTTGGGATTCTCCTGAGCCATTTTCCGTCGTTCGCCGCGAGACCATACCATGAAGGCATTCATGGGCCGCTTAACTTTGTCCATTGGGTCAGGTTGGATTGCCGGTGGTTTGGAACCTGTGTGGCTGCCCCCGTGCCCCCCTCCTCCATTCGCAGGTGGCATCCCAGTTCCAAGATGATGCGAGGGAACAGAGGACTTGAGTTGGTGCTCCATAATGTTATACATATTTACCATAAACGAAATATACAACGTGTGAACAAAGTGTTAAAATTACACCTGCTGTCCTCGCAGTGGTTGACCAATCTTCCTTGGTAAAAAGTTGAAGAAAATGTCAACCAAGCATCCCAAGCATTCGTTGAAAACAATAAAAATTAAAATGTCAGAGATGTAAACAAAGTCGGAGCAAAAACATCCTGCTACCAACTCACTATTCAGATGCAGACCTTTAGGCTACTCTGAGAATAGAGATCTAGAGATACTGCTGTAGAGTTCCTTCTTGAAATCAAAACTCCCTCTCCCACTGGTAGCTTGGTGATTATAAAATGTATTCTCAAGCAGATCCGCTCTTAACTTCCCTCCCTTCCTCCACCCTACTAATTTACATCACTATAGAAGGGGTGCGGTGAATTTGGAATGCACTTGAGTGAATATGAAAAGAGGAACAATCGCTGAGGGAGGCAGGGGGGACCCCTCACCCCTCCCTTTCCAATAGAAAAGACAAACTTTCGTTTTTTAATGTATTATATAGTCCATGTTTATTTAATATAAATAATACTTTTGTTTCAGGCTTCTCTCCATAACATTGGCCACCACAGATACGTGTTTTAGGCGAGGGAGGGAGGAAGGAAGGATGCCGCAATAAAAACGTACAAACTATTTTAAATGTTCAGATTCATCAAGCTTATTTACTTAAGATTTAGAATCATTTAGTTTCAGATTTTCTGGGCTAATATTGACCACCACACTAATGACACTTGTTGACAACAATCAAATTAAGTTTAGGCTTTTCAAATCAATGTCATATCAGAATTACATCTGTAGTAATAATATAATAATAATAATAATAATAATAATAATAATAATAATAATATAATATGTGTATTCCATTGTTGAATGCCTGGTAGACCTATGTTTTCAGAGAGAAAGGATGTCATCAAAACAGGATTCATTTCACAGTATAGCCCATGATCCATGCCCCCTCTATCCAGTAGCAGCTCCCTGCTGTTCTAAAATAAGGCTAGGTGTGAAATTACTAGTAGCTACCCATTGACACCTTTTTATAGTTTCTATGGTCATCACTATACACCTCCATTGTTGGTTTGGTGTTCACCCATAGCCATCCATCAGTACATAGCTCATTCATTACGCTTTGCAGGATCATGCTAAGAGTCAGCGCTTGAGTTGGGCCGGTGTCCAAAGGTGTACCGGCAACTCTTATAGAATACAGGCAATACAATATGATGAGTACCGACACCTAAATAATAAGACTACTGGGCCGGCACCCAAAATGAGTAATAACTGGCACCTATTCAAGAACTGAGTAGAGTGATACAAGCAGAATGATAGAGTGATATCAGCAAATAGGTTGATTACAATAGCTAAAAATAGACCACAATGTGCACAGTAATCCCAGTCCCCCTCTGTTTCAGGGAGATTTGGTTGGTTGAGAGGTCAATCTGTTGATTTGAACTTGTCTAAAAGTCCACAATAATATACACATTATCCAATATATTTGGAATCGTTCCTATGGCCACAGGAATACCGCCATTATGCAACGTATTTGGACTGATTCCAATGACCAAGATAGTACAGCCATTATCCAATTTATTTGACTTTATTTGTACTTATGGAGTGAGTGTGTGTCTCCTATTGCGCCAGGGTCATTCTTATTGTGAGCAGAATATAGGGGAAATAGAGGAAACACATTTATGTCTCCTGGTGTTGTGATGGTGACAATCAGTTCAGCGTTAAAGTGGACAAATAAAAGACAGACAGGACATAGCGGGTAGGTTTGAAAGCCTCAAGCATTATATACATAAGAAAAAACGGAGATCGGCAATGACAGATTTGAGGCAATGAGGCAAAGGAAAATGAAGTGAAGAGGTTGAGGAGAAGAAAGAGGGAAGAAAGAGAGGGAGGCAAAGAAACAGAGTGTTGCACAAAGAAAGGGTTGGTGATGGGGGGTTGGTGGTTAGGAGAGAAAGTCCTCAGAGACAAGCAGATTGAAAGTCGCTCTATTCATCGCCCTCTCCTCCGGCTCTTCTCATGTAAATAGCCCTGCGGTCTCCCAGCTATCCGTCACAGGGCAGAGGAACCCAGGCAGTGCCCTTTACGAGCCTCCCGTACACACAATTGCCCTGCCAACAATTGGTGCGCCAGTGGGGGGTGGGCGGTCACGGTTGGGAGGCCAATCCTGGTGAGAGAAATAGATGGATACCAGAGGGGGGAGAAATTAGAGGAATGGCCACCTACACTGAGCCAGAGAAGCATACATTGGTTTAGGTTGGTTGTGTTTAATAACATAAGGAAAAGCGATGAAATTACAACAGAAACCGTGTGTGAGAATAACAAGAGGCTGTTTGATGTCATTCCCAAGTGTAAAAAAGTTGAGGGTGAGGATTTGTTACTTCTTGATAGAATAGCATATCTGAAAAACATGAAAGAAAATCCTTGATTTAGATTACATGGGATTATTCACTTGATGACTCCCACAGTAACTAGTCCAGTAAAACAATGTATACTTTGTACAAAAATTGGTTGGTTTATCAATATGACATTTGAGTTCAAGACTTTGAGTTATCTTCTACCTTGGATCCATCTCTATCTTTTGTGGGTGCATTTAAACAAAAAGTGATCTATATTTCTTAAAATCTAAATGCCAGAAGTATAGGATTGCTGAGTCAAGCTGCACCACTGGATGGAAGGCACCCAAGATTGGACAGTATTTGTACTCTATCTGGTGGTAAATACTGGTATAACAACCCAGTCATTATGTAATACATTAGTTTATCCTCTGAGAGGAAATGTCAAGCTGTAACATTCTACACCTAAAACGGGACTGGACAAGCATAATGCATTTTCCAAACCTCAACAATACATGTTAAATCTACACAAAATTTGATTAAGTGGTACTTTGTGCTGTGCTCAACTCTAACTCCGATCAACTGCAGATATCCAAAGTTGTTTCTCCAAGAAGCAGTCAGACGTTTTTATTAAATCAAAGACATCCAGAGTTACATAGAGCAGAATCCAATGTAGAAAAGCTTACATTGTTTATGTTAAAACAACGTTTAATTATGTTTGAGCAGCAGACAACTTGAACCGTTTGCATGATAAAGTTGCTCACAGTATACTGTGCATTGGCAAAGTATTCAGACCCCTTGACTTTTTCCACATTTTGTAATGTTACAGCCTTATTCTAAAATGGATTAAATGAAATGTTTTCCTCATCAATCTACACACAATACCCCATAAAGACAAAGGGAAAACAGGTTTTTAGAAATTTTTGCAAAATTCAGAATCACCTTTTTTACATAAGTATTCAGACCCTTTGCTATGAGACTCGAAATTGAGCTCAGGTGCATCCTGTTTCCATTGGTGATCCTTGAGATGTTTCTACAACTTGATAGGAGTCCAGCTGTGATAAATTCAATTGATTGGACATGATTTGGAAAGGCACACACCTGACAGTGCATGTCAGAGCAAAAACCAAGCCATGAGGTCGAAGGAATTGTCCGTAGAGCTCCGAGAGAGGATTGTGTCGCGGCACAGATCTGGGGAAGGGTACCAAAACATTTCTGAAGCATTGAAGGTCCCCATGAACACAGTGGCCTCCATCATTCTTAAATGGAAGAAGTTTGGAACCACCAAGACTCTTCCTAGAGCTGGCCGCCCGGCCAAACTGAGAAATCAGGGGAGAAGGGTCTTGTTCAGGGAGGTGACCAAGAACCCAATGGTCACCCTGACAGAGCTCCAGAGTTCCTCTGTGGAGATGGGAGAACCTTCAAGAAGAACAACCATCTCTGCAGCACTCAACCAATCAGGCCTTTATGGTAGTGGCCAGACGGAAGCCACTCCTCAGTAAAAGGCACATGACAGCCCGCTTGGAGTTTGCCAAAAGGCTCCTAAAGGACTCTCAGACCATGAGAAACAAGATTCTCTGTTATGATGAAACCAAGATTGAACTCTTTGGTCTGAGTGACAAGCATCAAGTCTGGAGGAAACCTGGCACCATCCCTACAGTGAAAACATGGTGGCAGCATCATGCTGTGGGGATGTTTTTCAGAAGCAGGGACTGGGAGACTAATCAGGATTGAGGGAAAGATTAATGGAGCAAAGTGCAGAGAGATCCTTCATGAAAACCTGCTCCAGAGTGCTCAGGATCTCAGACTGGGGTGAAGGTTCACCTTCCAACAGGACAAGAACCCTAAGCACACAGCCAAGACAACGCAGCAGTGGCTTCGGGACAAGCATCTGAATGTCCTTGAATGGCCCAGCCAGAGCCCGGACTTGAACCTGATCGAACCTCTCTGGGGACCTGAAAATAGCTGTGCAGTGACACTCCCCATCCAACCTGACAGAGCTTGAGAGGATCTGCAGAGAAGAATGGGAGAAACTCCCCAAATACAGGTGTGGCAAGCTTGTAGCGTCATACCCAAGAAGACTTGAGGATGTAATCACTGCCAAAGGTGCTTCCACAAAGTACTGAGTAAAGGGTCTGAATACTTATGTAAATGTGATTTCAGTTTATTTTTAATACATTTGCAGAAATTTCTAAAAAACCAGTTTTTGCTTTGTCATTATGGGGTATTGTGTGTAGATTGATGAGGGAAAAAAACAATTTAACCCATTGTAGAAAAAGGCTGTAACATAACAAAATGAAGAAAAAGTCAAGGGGTCTGAATGCGTTCCGAACGCATGGTATACATTTGCCTAGTCCTAGAGACAATCCGAGAACTCCTATGAAAACTAAATACAGTGGGGAGAACAAGTATTTGATAAACTGCAGATTTTGCAGGTTTTCCTACTTATAAAGCATGTAGAGGTCTGTAATTTTTATCATAGGTACACTTCAACTGTGAGAGACAGAATCTAAAACAAAAATCCAGAAAATCACATTGTATGGTTTTTAAGTAATTCATTTGCATTTTATTGCATGACATAAGTATTTGATCACCTACCAACCAGTAAGAATTCCGGCTCTCACAGACCTGTTAGTTTTTCTTTAAGAAGCCCTCCTGTTCTCCACTCATTACCTGTATTAACTGCACCAGTTTGAACTCGTTACCTGTATAAGACACCTGTCCACACACTCAATCAAACAGACTCCAACCTCTCCACAATAGCCAAGACCAGAGAGCTGTGTAAGGACATCAGGGATAAAATTGTAGACCTGCACAAGGCTGGGATGGGCTACAGGACAATAGGCAAGCAGCTTGGTGAGAAGGCAACAACTGTTGGCGCAATTATTAGAAAATGGAAGAAGTTCAAGATGACGGTCAATCACCCTCGGTCTGGGGCTCCATGCAAGATCTCACCTCGTGGGGCATCAATGATCATGAGGAAGGTGAGGGATCAGCCCAGAACTACACGGCAGGACCTGGTCAATGACCTGAAGAGAGCTGGGACCACAGTCTCAAAGAAAACCATTAGTAACACACTACGCCGTCATGGATTAAAATCCTACAGCGCAATCAAGGTCCCCCTGCTCAAGCCAGCGCATGTCCAGGCCCGTCTGAAGTTTGCCAATGACCATCTGGATGATCCAGAGGAGGAATGGGAGAAGGTCATGTGGTCTGATGAGACAAAAATAGAGCTTTTTGGTCTAAATTCCACTCGCCGTGTTTGGAGGAAGAAGAAGGATGAGTACAACCCCAAGAACACCATCCCAACCGTGAAGCATGGAGGTGGAAACATCATTCTTTGGGGATGCTTTTCTGCAAAGGGGACAGGACGACTGCACCGTATTGAGGGGAGGATGGATTGGGCCATGTATCGCGAGATCTTGGCCAACAACCTCCTTCCCTCAGTAAGAGCATTGAAGATGGGTCATGGCTGGGTCTTCCAGCATGACAACGACCCGAAACACACAGCCAGGGCAACTAAGGAGTGGCTCCGTAAGAAGCATCTCAAGGTCCTGGAGTGGCCTAGCCAGTCTCCAGACCTGAACCCAATAGAAAATCTTTGGAGGGAGCTGAAAGTCCGTATTGCCCAGCGACAGCCCCGAAACCTGAAGGATCTGGAGAAGGTCTGTATGCTACTGTACTGCTGCAGTGTGTGCAAACCTGGTCAGGTCCTACAGGAAATGTATGATCTCTGTAATTGCAAACAAAGGTTTCTGTACCAAATTTTAAGTTCTGCTTTTCTGATGTATCAAATACTTATGTCATGCAATAAAATGCAAATGAATTACTTAAAAATCATACAATGTGATTTTCTGGATTTTTGTTTTAGATTCCATCTCTCACAGTTGAAGTGTACCTATGATAAAAATTACAGACCTCTACATGCTTTGTAAGTAGGAAAACCTGCACAATCGGCAGTGTATCAAATACTTGTTCTCCCCACTGTATATGGGCTAACAAGACAAGCATGCAATCCATTCAGTCACACAATGCAATGAATCCCCCTGCAGGACCACTGGGGTGTTCCAAAAAAACTGAATAATATCAATCTGGTTCATTTAGAAAGCTGAACTTGAATATTGGTTGTGGTTGTCAAGTAACCAATACCATGCACATTTCACACAATTATATTGCTCAAAAATTTGAATTCATTTCAGGGTCATCTGGCCAACTCAATGATCTTGCATTCTGGAACAGACAGACCACATACCAACTTAGCACTGATGAGAAACACTGATGAGTACAATAGGATAAATAACTGACAAAACAAATGCATGATTTTATTTGGTAACTTTATTGAAGTCATCCCCCTTCCCCAATTTGTAAAATGAAACCAAACTAATGAATAAAAGAGGGGTGGAAAATAAATAATGTTTATACTGGATTTTGATTTGCGTAAAGGGTTTAATGTCGAGTCCATCAAATATCTTTGCACCCAAAAAAAAAACTCCCAATACCCCCCTCTGTACACCGTTATGCTCTCCCCAAAAATGTCAATGAAATGTTTAGAACAAGGGGACAAATGCTAACCCTTGTGAAATGTTAATTATACACACTAGAAATGTCTACCAACATATTTGGAACACCACTACGAGTATTCAAATAATTGCTGTACTTCCAACAGGGAACATGGAGCAAAAAAAATTAAATAAAAAAAGAGAAACAACGTCATCCTTTGTTTCTGTTTAAAAACTCTCCTGCAGAAAATCTATGGCATATCAGCAATGGATAGTGATACAATATAACTGATGCAAATAACATAGACTGGAACTGAATGATGCAATCCCCATCCCCCAAGAAGTCACAATTTCCTATTGAAATGGAGTCGCAAGGGGTCCTAGCAGACCACATAAGGACATGAAGTCTGCTGCTAATACAAACACAGCAAATCTCATCTGTGGCCAATTAAAATACAATTCTTGAGTTTTATTATGCAAGGCGAGCCATAGAAAACCAAATGAGTGGGGCTGAGCTGAGGGACCGCAGAGGGCATGGAAGGAGGAGGAAAACAGGAGTTCCCCTACCCCATTTAAGAGCGCAAAATTGGGATACATGGGAGGCTTGGATAGGTGGGTGGTAGGTAGGAGACGGGAGATTTTAGAGAATGAGATTTGGGAGGGGGGGAATAGTGGGATGATGATGGTCCGTAGAGAGTTAAGGTACCACCAGCAGACAGGGCGCCAGGGGTACTCTAGATCAGGTCAGCCACATTCATGGGCATCTCCTCTACTGTGGTGTTGTAGAATGTCTCAATGTCCCGGAGTGTGCGCTTGTCCTCTTCAGTCACCATGTTGATGGCAACACCCTTCCTGCCGAAACGGCCTCCTCTCCCGATCCTGGCACACAACAAGCAAAGTCGAGATTAATATGAACCCTGCCAATCTGCAATTATAATCAAAACGGTAGAGAAATAAATATGATTTGAATGAACAAACCAGGAATGAGAGCAGGACATTATAGAACAATCTAGAAAAAGTATGATATTGGTTTGTGGTTAGCTAGGTACATTTCAATGATGTATGAAATGGAGGATGTCAGTAAAGCAGGAACTCCTGATTAATCAGGAAAATTCACACCCCAATATGAACCATGTTGATTGCCATAATCAAAACAGCAGTGAAATAAAAAGTGATTCCTATGGAGCTTTGTTTTTAATATAACTCAGGGTCCCTCCTACCTGTGAATGTAGTTCTCACGATTGGTCGGCAGGTCATAGTTGATAACCAGAGACACCTGCTGGACATCAATTCCACGGGCCTGAAAAGAGAAACATGATCAGCACTCCTGCAATGCCTGACCTCTAGCGGCTTTAATACCCTGTACACCGATGCAAGATGGCTTGGTCCCGTGTGTATCAGTTGGTGGGAGTGTAGCGCCAAAGGTTATGGGTTCGATTCCTACAGGGATAAAACATTTTTGCCACTTGACTAAAACTTTGGTATTACTGTTAATTGAGAATAGGCTAATTAAATATATAATATAGAGCCCACTTACACGTTTAATTTCACTGTAAAGGAAGTCGATTTGAATAAATGGGTTTGCCAAATTGATTAATATAATAAGAAATTATATTTATTACATTAAACAAATGAAAATATTCAAGGCACAGTGTGCTCTGCCCAGGTAGTAGGGTGCTGCTGCGTCTCCTGAACTCAACTCACCAGCAGATCTGTGGTGATGAGGACACGGCTGGAGCCAGAGCGGAACTCCCTCATGATCAGGTCCCTCTCCTTCTGGTCCATGTCACCGTGCTGGGGAAGGAGGAAGGCATCACATGTTACATTTAGCAGACTCTTACACAGACCCACTTATAGTCAAACAAGACAGTCAGTTAGCCTGGATCTGTGAACACCACAGGCACTTCATATAATTTCACATTATGGAAATCATAAAAACCAAGAAATGCTGATCTAACCAGATCGACAGGATGTTTACTGCACAAATAGAGGCACTAAGAAGCATTGGAGGAACTTGAGAGGATTCTGTAGATAATGTAAACGAATGCTGACACCTCAATCCAATAAAGGACACCACTTCAACCCTGTGCCCGTATTAGTGTTCAACTCGATGAATGTGCCCATACAGGGCTCTAGACTGACCACAGTCACGTTTCGTGACCCTTTGACTTCGCTGTGCGAGTTACATTTTTTTATTGGTTGCACTGGTGCGAGCTGTACATTCTACCTGGTCAGCTCAATCAAAACGTCCTATTTTTTGGGCGGATAAAACTATGATTTGGTCAAACAGTAAAATGCATCATCCTCACGATTTCTGTAATAAAAAGGTCTGCCCTGCCGCTGTTTGAAATATGGAGCTGCGCATTGGCCATTGCGAGTGCACTAGGCCTCATTGGGTAGTATTGAACTTGGTAGGAAATCAAATAAATGTATTGAACTCAGAAAATGCCCAAGTTTATCATAAGACATGAACAGAATGCATCAGTGATTCATATTTCCGGCAACTTTCTGAAGTGGCAACGACACGGAAATGCCCCAGTCTCATCTGTATGTGTGGGTGCGCGTATGTCTACGACTATAACCGTTAGCGACGCTAAGCATAACAGTCTTCTGGTTGATGGAGAAAGGCTTTCCCAAAAACCTCATTAACTAGAAAGAAGCTTATGCCTGCCTACCTGTAGGGTTGGGCGGTATCCAGATTTTCATACCATTTCTATACCATACGGGGGCATATGGTATTACCTTAAGTGCACAAAAGGGGTGCAATTTAGGCAACACGGATCTTGATCAAGGAGGGGATCGTCTCTACTGTAACCAAGAAGCTTGATCTTGATGTCTAGCCACATAGCTAGCAAGTTAGTAAACCAAATGCATATCTGGAGCCCTGAGCTGTATATAGTTGATTCGGAACATCTTAGATAGTTCACTTATAGTTATAAGCAGTGGCATAGCACACACCCCAGTAACTCAGTAAAATCTTTAAATTGTTGCATGTTGCGTTTATATTTCTGTTCAGTATATGATGCAAATTTCGGTCAACTAACTGACCCTCATTAACCATTCAACAAACCGTTATTTTTTCTAAACAGTAAAATGACGTGACCAACAGAAAACACTATCAGAGATCAGTATATAATGACGAGATGCTCATGTTTCCCCCCCTAACAAATGGGAGTCGTCCCAAGTCGGGAAGGCAGGCGACAAGCATAGGCCCAAAATAAGTCCATTGGACTGATTTTGGTCAGAGTTTGGCGAGTGTGAAACCTCTCGCTTCGCCTCTTCCTCTGATACTATGCATGCATGCATACATGCATACAAGGACCCAACATTTTTCATTAAGAGCTTAAATGGAAACATGCAACAATAGCAAGCATATCATCTTACAGTCAAAGGCTATAGTCTATTATTGAACATGCAATTCCTGTAATGAAGCAGCTAATAAAACGTCATTTTCAAACATTTGCCCAAATGCAACTAGAAGAAAACAGTTCTAAACTGGGCACCTATTGCGAGCAGTTTCATATGTGACAGATGAAAATCTCTGTTAGAAACTTAGAAAGAGGGGGAATCTAATTGCAACTACTATGATGGGTTGCTAATATGACTAGGATTGTGCCTTTGGCTTCTGGACAACAAAATGTTGATATGAAAACCAATAGAACGATGAATGGATTTCTGCAAGGCTACTTTGAAGCAAAGTAAGACATGCCTCATTATTTGAAGTAAAGTAAAACGTTCAGATTTTAAACAATTATACTGCCTCAAGCTCACATTGCAAAGTGGTGGGTGACACACTGATGGTCAACAGTAGGCAGGCTATTGCCTATGCATCCGAGGCGTGCTTTACGAGATTGAGAAATAAAAATAGCTCCTTTTTAAATCGTGGCCACTAAAGTTAACACGTGATTGCATTTGGAATTGTTATTTGTTGCGCAATGACTGGGCTTACAAAAGCAGGTTTCACTCCAGTAGCCTAAAGGCTTTTTGAGGAGCTACTCTCGCGCTGTCTGACAGGTGGTAGGTGAGCTATGCCGCTTCTCAAACTAGGCTCTGTATGCTGTGCGCGTATGATAAATAAAATGCATGACGACTAATGAAAATACACGTGCCAATTGAATTCCACAAAGTTATGCAAATTCCATATATACACACCGATAAGCATGACCGGTCAAATGTATTTTCGGCGGCTAACCGATTAACATCCCTAATATACACTACCAGTCAAATGTTTGGACACACCTACTCATTTAAGGGTTTTTCTTTATTTTTTACAATTTTATACATTGTAGAATAATAGCGAAGACATCAAAACTATGAAATGACACATGGAATCATGTAGTAACCAAAGAAAAAGTGTTAAACGAAAACGTTTTATATTTGAGATTCTTCAAATAGCCACCCTTTGCCTTGATGACAGCTTGCACACTCTTGGCATTCTCTCAACCAGCTTCATGAGATAGTCACCTGGAATGCATTTCAATTAACAGGTGTGCCTTGTCAAAAGTTAATTTGTGGAATTGTTTTCCTTCTTAATGCATTTGAGCCAATCAGTTGTGTTGTGACAAGGTAGGGGGGAATACAGAATATAGACTTATTTGGTAAAAGACCAAGTCCATATTATGGCAAGAACAGCTCAAATAAGCAAAGAGAAACGACAGTCCATCATTACTTTAAGACATGAAGGTCAGTCAATACAGAACATTTCAAGAACTTTGAACGCATCTTAAAGTGCAGTCACAAGAACCATCAAGCGCTATGATGAAACTGGCTCTCATGAGGACCGCCACAGGAATGGAAGACCCAGAGTTACCTCTGCTGCAGAAGATAAGTTCATTAGAGTTACCAGCCTCAGAAATTGCAGCCCAAATGAATACGTCACAGAGTTCAAGTAACAGACACATCTCAACATTAACTGTTCAGAGGAGACTGTGTGAATCAGGCATTCATGGTCGAATTGCTGCAAAGAAACCACTAGTAAAGGACACCAATAAGAAGAAGAGACCTGCTTGGGCCAAGAAACACTAGCAATGGACATTAGACCGGTGGAAATGTGTCCTTTGGTCTGGAGTCCAAATTTGAGATTTTTGGTTCAAACCGCTGTGTCTTTGTGAGACGCAGTGTGGGTGAACGGATGATCTCTGCATGTGTAGTTCCCACTGTAAAGCATGGAGGAGGAGGCGTTATGGTGTGGGGGTGCTTTGCTGGTGACACTGTCTGTGATTTAGTTAGAATTCAAGGCACACTTAACCAGCATGGCTACCACAGCATTCTGCAGCGATACGCCATCCCATCTGGTTTGGGTTTAGTGGGACTATCTTTTGTTTTTCAACAGGACAATGACCCAACACACCTCCAGTCTATGTAACGGCTATTTTACCAAGAAGGAGAATGCTGTGGTTGGGAATGCTGTGACCTGGCCTCCACAATCCCCCAACCTCAACCCAATTGAGATGGTTTGGGATTAGTTGGACCGCAGAGTGAAGGAAAAGCAGCCAAAAAGTGCTCAGCATATGTGGGAACTCCTTCAAGAATGTTGGAAAAGCCTTCCAGGTGAAGCTGGTTGAGAGAATGCCAAGTGTGCAAAGCTGTCATCAAGGCAAAGGGTGAATGTAAACGTAAATAAAATATATTTTGATTTGTTTAACACTTTGTTGGTTACTACATGATTCCATGTGTTATTCATAGTTTTGATGTCTTCACTAATTTTCTACAATGTAAAAATGTTTTTAAAATAAAGAAAACCCCTTGAATGCGTAGGTGTCCAAACTTTTGACTGGTACTGTATATACAGTACCTGGGTGTTAGGTATAACAAAACTGTGGAACATGGACACCAAGCTGGAAGTGCAGGAGCTCTTACCAGGGCAGAGACTGTGAAGTCCCTGGCGTGCATCTTCTCAGTCAGCCAGTCCACCTTTCGGCGGGTGTTGATGAAGATCACAGCTTGGGTGATGGTCAGGGTCTCGTACAGATCACACAGGGTGTCCAGCTTCCACTCCTAACAAAGGAAAGGGGGTTGAATTGAGTATGAAGAAAAGGGAAAACTTCAAGCCAAAGATCTGGTCAATAACACCCATTTCAAGCTATTGTGCCAACCCAAACTACACTATTCACACTAGGATATTTTGTTATTACCATTTTCAAATGTTCCTTATCCAGCACAGTTCCAGGCTAGTAAAGTAAATAATGTCTCAGCTCAGTAGTGTGAAAGGGGTATAATACACAAAAGGTTGATATTACAGTTAAATTATAAAGCGGATGAGGTTGCTTTTAAGTTAAAGTTGTAGAGGGACAAAGAGCCCAGCCACGGTGTAGAGCAGTCGACTTTCTCTGCCAAAGAACACTGTTACTCCAACAGCATGGGAGTGAGAGGTTTCACTCTAGCCTAAATCTGTCCAAAATAAGCCCAATGTGTTTCTATGGACTTATTTAGGACCTAAGCTTGTTGCCCGCCTTCGGGACAACTCCCAATGTTAGGGTGGAGAAATGAGCATCTCTTCATTATATACAGATCTCTGGAGACTCAGAGGGAACTTGGGACCCCAACAACGTTTCAAAAGTGCTCAAGAGGATATAGCTAAACTCATCATTAGAAGCACTGTAGCAAGCTATTTTCATACAAAATCAACCATCTTGATAATCAAATAATACAATTTTAAGGAAGGAAAGGCCATTTCTAAAAGTATCATTGATTAACATTCCATGTTAACAGGACAGTTACTGTGTTGTATTGACCAAATGGGGCTACTTCATGACTTAACTTATTCCTGTTAGTAGAGCAAAGGGCCTCACAAGATTGTAATAACGAGCATTTAAAAGAGCAATATATTCTCTTTATATACACACACTTGCTATAACTATAACTATAACTATAACATGCATCCATTACAGCAATACCTCTTTCTCCACGTTGATGTAGAACTGGCGGATACCCTCCAGGGTGAGCTCCTCCTTCTTCACCAAGATACGGATAGGCTCACGCATGAACTTCTTGGTGACCTCCAGGACATCCTGAGGCATGGTGGCAGACAGGAGCACCACCTGGATAACAGGGTTGAGAACAGTATTAGCTCTATAGAGCAATCACTTGACAAAGGAATACATGGGTCATTGAAAGATTACTATGGTGTGCTCAGCTGTTCATCTCCCTCCCTCTCGCTAGCGCTTTCTTTCTCTAGGAGCACTACCAGGAAGGAGGGTTGGGACAAGTACTAGCTAAGATTCAGAAAAGCACAGTACATTCCACTTGAAAAAACATATTCTATATTCCCCGATTTATGCTTAAATCGACCCTTTGCTAAGCCCCGCCCCAGAATGTGGGGAACCAATCGCAATGTTCCAATGGATAGCAACTGCCGTCGAGTCTGACACCTGGGACAAGATAACATTTAAGTCGCATGAAAGGCAGTGAGGGCTATGGCAAAAACAGAATTCTTCAAAAAATATTTTGTTTAAATGGCAAAATAATTGAACAGTGCAGCATTAGTACTCGCTACTGTGATTCCTGAAATGCAGAGCCTGTTGGGCGAGTAAGAGCGTTGGGCCAGTAACCAAAAGGTTGCTTGTTCGAATCCCCGAGCTGACAAAGTAAAGATCTGTCGTTCTACCCCTGAGCAAGGCAGTTAACTCACTGTTCCCCGGGCTTGGATGGCGATTAAGGCAGCCCCCCGCACCTCTCTGATTCAGAGTGGTTGGGTTAAATGCAGACGACAAATTGCAGTTGAATGCATTCAGTTGTACAACTGACTAGGTATCCCCCTTACCCTAATCCAAAATTAAACTTGATACATTATTTGCTACCTCAGCTGGCTAGACAGTGCTCAGTGTCATCGAACACCAAACGCTGCTAACACTAGATAGCCACGTAATACAACTTGTTCTCAAAATGTGTTGGCTAGCTAAGTTAGCAATGTTATGAATACAATTCATCTGCTGTTGACATCAGGATACGATTTGAGAGTACTAGTTTGCTCCAAAAGTGTTTATAGCTTTGACTGCAGGCTGACAGTGAATTCAGAGTCATTCAGTGGCTAGCTACACTACAAACAATTTTACCAGGTTCCCGTGAAGCAATTGCAATGACAGTTCACAACATACCCAAGAGTTTCCTGATTAGCAAGTGGTAGTCTGTAGGGATGTGCATCTTTCCCTTTCAAGACGATTCGATACGTATCTATACTGAACAAAAATATAAACGCAACATGTGAAGTGTTAGTCTTATGTTTTATAAGCCAAAATAAAATCTCCCAGACATTTTCAATACGCACAAAAAGCTTGTTTCAAATTTTGTGCACAAATTTGTTTGCATCCCTGTTCGTGAGCATTTGTCCTTGCCAAGATAACCCATACACCTGAGAGGTGTGGCATATCAAATGTGCAGTTTCGTCACAAGACAATGCCAGAGAAGTCTCATGTTTTGAAGGAGTGTGCAATTGGCATGCTGACTGCAGGCCTGTCCACCAAAGCTGTTGCCAGAGAATTTAATGTTAACTTCTTTACCATAAGCCGCCTCCAACGTCGTTTTAGAGAATTTGGCAGTACGTCCAACCAGCCTCACAACCGCAGACCACGTTTAACCACGCCAGCCCAGGACCTCCACATCTGGCATCACCTGCAGGATCGTCTGAGACCAGCCACCTGGACAGCTGATGAAACTAAGAGTATTTCTGTCTGTAATAGAGTCCTTTGGTGGGGAAAAAAACTCATTGTGATTGGCTGGGCCCGGCTCCCCAGTGGGTGGGCCTGGCACCCAGGGGGTGGGCTTGCTGCGCCCCTGCCCAGTCATGTGAAAGCCAGAGATTCAGCCTAATGAATTTCTTTAAATTGCCTGAACTGTAAGTCAGTCAAATCATTTAAATTGTTGTTTATATATATTTGTGTTCAGTATAGATACACGGGCTCCAATAGATTTTAATTTGAAACTATTCGGTTTGATTAGAGCAGGGATCTGGCAGCCACAGATCAATTTATCTTTTCTTTTTTTACTCAGGTCTGAACTTACTGTTGAGCGTTAGAATACACAATGTGAAAAGTAATTATTGATTGGCAAGTCAGTCTAATGGACAGTTATCTAAAAAAACATTGTTGAATTACCAACCGGTGGGCCCACGTCGATTTTGTTAGTCACCCTCAGTCAGATACCATATAAAAAAAGCGAACATTTTCCCACACCCTGTAGGTATACAGACCCGCGAGCCACTGCGGCCTCATGAGTTCAGATTGTGGCCCCCACCACCATCAAAGTTACCCGTCCCTGAATTAGAGGAATGAATCGATGCACTAACATTTGTTGTAGGGCTGACCCCATTTAGTCGAGTGGTCTGTCAATGGGATGTTGGTCGACCGAGATCTCTTTAGTCTCCTGTCCGAGTGGACTAATCCATTGCGAAGGCCGTGTGGATGGCACAGTCCATCACTTTAAGACATGTGCTACTGAAATTGTATATGGTTATATTACATGAGAACAAATGGTGCAACACTAATAAAAATACTATTTTATAACAAATTATCTTTCTCCCGCATTGGATAGTGGTCACTGTCCGCGGTTCTGAAACATCAGTGAACTGTTGAATTGGCGCCTTTTCCTAGACCATGTTGCTGTGCATAATAGCAAAGTTAACCAGCATATTGGTGTTGAGAACAATGCGGTGGTGGCAGCAGCGGAGTTAGGAGACGAGAAAACAGCTCGCCTTAATTGTCTAAGAAAAGTGAGAGAGGAAACCAACTTAATTAGGTCTATAATCAATAGCCTTACTGTTAAATTTGCCTGGCTTTATAAATCATCCATTTACACTACTAGTCAAAAGTTTGGACATACCTACTCATTCTAGGGTTTCTTTATTTTTCCTATTTTCTACATTGTAGAATAGTGAAGACATCAAAACTATGAATTAACACATGGAATCATGTAATAAGCAAATAAAGTGTTAAACAAATCAAAATATATTTTATATTTGAGATTCTTCAAATTAGCCACCCTCGACTAACCGGTACCCCCTGTATATAGCCTCCCTACTGTTATTTTATTTTACTGCTGCTCTTTAATTATTTGCTATTTTTTGTTTTATTTACCTATTTTTTACTTAACACTTCTTTCCGTAAAAACTGCATTGTTGGTTAAGGGCTTGTAAATAAGCATTTCACTGTAAGGTCTACACCGGTTGTATTCGGCGCATGTGGCAAATAACATTTGATTTGCTTAGATGACAGCTTTGTCCTATATCTGAGAGAAAAGAAACAGGAAACTTTATTTTACACATTGTTTTTTAGGCACAAAATGATTCCATATAAACAAATATTCCTTTTTTAAAACTGGTACCGGGCTACCTTCAAATGAGTCTTGAGGCTTTTGGCCCTAGAGCAAAACAAACATGTAGAGTTGAAGTCGGAAGTTTACATACACTTAGGTTGGAGTCATTAAAACTCGTTTTTCAACCACTCCACAAATTTCTTGTTAACAAACTATAGTTTTGGCAAGTCGGTTAGGACATCTACTTTGTGCATGACAAGTAATTTTTCCAACAATTGTTTACAGACAGATTATTTCACTTATAATTCACTGGATCACAATTCCAGCAGGTCAGAAGTTTACATACACTAAGTTGACTGTACCTTTAAACAGCTTGGAAAATTCAAGAAAATGATGTCATGGCTTTAAAAGCTTCTGATAGGCTAATTGACATCATTTGAGTCAATTGGAGGTGTACCTGTGGATGTATTTCAAGGCCTACCTTCAAACGCAGTGCATCTTTGCTTGACATCATGGGAAAATCAAAAAAAATCAGCCAAGACCTCGGAAAAAAAATTGTAGACCTCCACAAGTCTGGTTCATCCTTGGGAGCAATTTCCAAATGCCTGAAGGTAGCACGTTCATCTGTACAAACAATAGTACGCAAGTATAAACACCATGGGACCATGCAGCCATCATACCGCTCAGGAAGGAGACACGTTCTATCTCCTAGAGATGAACGTAATTTGGTGCAAAAAGTGCAAATCAATCCCAGAACAACAGCAAAGGACCTTGTGAAGATGCTGGAGGAAACAGGTACAAACGTATCTATATCCACAGTAAAACAAGTCCTATATCGACATAACCTGAAAAGCCGCTCAGCAAGGAAGAAGCCATTGCTCCAAATCCGCCATAAAAAAGCCAGATTACGGTTTGCAACTGCACATGGGGACAAAGATCGTACTTTTTGGAGAAATGTCCCCTGGTCGATGAAACAAAAATATAACTGTTTGGCCATAATGACCATCGTTATGTTTGGAGGAAAAAGGGGGAAGCTTGCAAGCTGAAGAACACCATCCCAACCGTGAAGGACGGGGGTGGCAGCATCATGATGTGGGGGTGCTTTGCTGCAGGAGGGACTGGTGCAATTCACAAAATAGATGGCATCATGAGGAAGGAAAATTATGTGGATATATTGAAGCAACATCTCAAGACATCAGTCAGGAAGTTAAAGCTTGGTCGCAAATGGGTCTTCCAAATGGACAATCACCCCAAGCATACTTCCAAAGTTGTGACAAAATGGCTTAAGGACAACAAAGTCAAGGTATTGGAGTGGCCATCACAAAGCCCTGACCTCAATCCTATAGAAAATGTGTGGGCAGAACTGAAAAATTGTGTGCGAGCAAGGAGGCTTACAAACCTGACTCAGTTACACCAGCTCTGTCAGGAGGAATGGGCCAAAATTCACCCAACTTATTGTGGGAAGCTTGTGGAAGGCTACCTGAAACGTTTGACCCAAGTGAAACAATTTTAAAGGCAATGCTACCAAATACTAATTGAGTGTATGTAAACTTCTGACCCACTGGGAATGTGATGAAAGAAATAAAAGCTGAAATAAAGCAATCATTCTCTCTACGATTATTCTGACATTTCACATTCTTAAAATAAAGTGGTGATCCTAATTGACCTAAGACAGGGAATTTTTTTACTAGGATTAAATGTCAGGAATTGTGAAAAACTGAGTTTAAATGTATTTGGCTAAGGTGTATGTAAACTTCTGACTTCAACTGTACGTGTTCGTGAAAGACACCTT